TGCTCTAAATCATATGGTACTGCTTAATAGTATTATAGTAGTTTTGATGAAAGTCATACGATTATATATATATATATATATATATATGGACCCGCTAACCAGCACTCACCTTTGGCTAACCACCACTCACCCTGTCTATATAGAACCCCTAGGCTCGTTTTCGAGGCCTGTGATTGGCTGGAACCATTCAACCTAAACCCACAACGTGCTACCTCTACCTCTACACAGAGGTATCCCTCGCAATTTGAGGTGGTTGAGGCATCTGTGAGACCCCAAAGAAGATGTGGAAGGTGCCGTCAGTCTGGTCACAATGCTCGACGTTACCAGCAACCTCCCGCATCTCTCTGATATTGAAGAAGATAGATAGACAATAGCTCAAATAATATTTAATACAAAAATGGTTTTCTGACGGCGGCAAATTATTTTTTCGTGATAATATTGAATGGTTCCAGCCAATCACAAGTCTCAAAAACGAGCCTATGGGTTCTATATGGACAGAGTGAGTGGTGGTTAGTGGCTCCCATATATATATATATATATATATATATATATATATATATATGCAATTAAATATTTCTTAAAAAACTCAAGGGAAAATTTTGATTTCGATCATTATCTGTCATAACTTATGACTAGGCATGGTTCAAATAGGCTTTCATATATGTCGGTACCTAAATGACCTAAACGCGCACTAGTTTAGGCGCCTAAACTAAAGTGGGCGGGATTTGGAGCCTAATTGAACCAAGAACTTAGCATCCAATGAGAAGATGACGCGCTTACTCGCTGCAACGGATTTTTGCCTCCAAGTCAGTATATATGGAACCTGGTTAATGCACCTCATTCTCCCATTCGAGTTCCTCTGATTGAAGTGCATAGTTTGTCAATTTGACCTCATGTTCGTAAGTGAATCTACTGCCCGAACTGCGAAGATAATTCTCGTCTTTCTGCTTCTTACGCTTTCTTTCTTTCATGCGTCGTCATTCATTTTTTGTCTTTACTTGCTCTCTACACTAATCCTCTCTTCTCTTGAGGTTCTGACTGTCTTTAACGCTTGTCCAGCCTGCACGATAATGTCAAACAATTTGTGTGCTTCTTCTGGTCCGATGACTCGAACATGACACTCCCCTAGACTTTGACCCTAGAATCGACATCCGCAACGAAGAATTTGCTTTCGCGATCACGGGGACCATATACATCGCCCCCTACACGACATTGATTTTGCAGCAAAAAAAAACAGATTATTGAACTTGCTTTCGCGATCACGGGGACCATATACATCGCCCCCTACACGACATTGATTTTGCAGCCAAAAAAAACAGATTATTGAACTGAATTGTGGTTTTGTGGTCACATTCGTAACCTGAGAATCGCTCCATCCGTCCGTGCTTTAAAGAGAGCGAGGAACCGAATCAAAATCGGATTATTGAACCGAATCTTCGCTGCCACATTTCAGATTCAATGTTACTTTATAATCTATAATTTCTTGTCCTATGATTTAAGCATGCAGCTCTCGATGATTTGGGTATATGTAGTTCTGCAGTTTTCCAAACAACACAGGATAACTGCACCCTGTATCACACTGCCAACAATCTCTCATTGAAAAATTGAGAGTCAGTCTTTCAAAGAAAAGAAAATTTTTAACAAGTGAGGTTTGATGTCACATATTTTCATTATTCCCAGATCTCTCGTTTAGTTTCCGTGCTCAAGTCTTGTCTTCCTTCACCGAGGTTTTTCCTTGATACACAATTTCCTTCATTTTTTTGTTTCTTCCGGTGCCCAGAATCTATGCCAGAGTGACTGCTTCACAGGGAAGTGAGCTCTCTAGTCTTGGGGCTCGGTGGAAAATTCACAACAAAAATTTATAAGCCTACAACAAAGTGCATGCTTACATTGTACAACGTTGAAACTCAAATGTTCGTGTCAAGATTTACTTTGGAAGTTAACAAAAATCTTGGTTCATGTTACTCTCAACCTCTCGGCAGAACCACTCCAACGTTTAAGAGCACGGCCAGGCCTCTGCCGCAACAGAAGGCATGTCTCCTCTTCTACCAATTCTTTGAAATCTCTGGCATGGGCTATGGCAATCATCCAACGGCCGGGAGATCCTCCCCACGTCACACATTTCGCACTCTCTCGTCCCGCGAGCCAAGCTCAGAACTTCGTCCAATGCGGATTGTTTCTTCCCATGTACATTTGTAAATCTTCTCCACTGACAGTTGTTGCGACAATCCAATCCACGACAATTCATGATCCCCTTAAGTCTATGTGTCCGTCCAACAGCACGCGAGTGTTTCGGGATTGCAACATTGTTGTTCTTTTCTACCATTGCAACTGTCATCGCATGAGCGGAAGCCGTGTTGCCCATGTTAGATGTGTTCATGAGCAAAGAAGCTCGAGTCGTTTGGAGGTACCTCGTTCTAACTTTGATTTTGCTCATATTTGCGGAGTTTTTCATTCTGAGCGCATTCGCCATAGCAGGATTCGCATCATTGCTACTTATTTTCACTATGCAAGTTAACATGATCGCCACGAGCGTGATAGAAATCCTATTGTGCATATCAATTTTGGTCTGGTACCTTAGGCACCTGTGCAAATTATGACCTAGTTGGTGGTGTAACATTGAGGAGAGTATCTTTCCTCGTTGCGCTCTCAGTGGACATAAACTCCAGCTAACTTTCTTTAACATCTGTTTCACCTTGCCTCCACTCATCTCTCGCATTCTGGATGCAACGTTGCTGATTGATGGTGGTGGGCTTCTCCTCTATTCCACACAACGCTACAATTAGATCCAGAACGTGCTAATGCACCAAGGAGACGAGACAATTGTCACGGACCAGGATTTCGTCCAAGTGGATCAGATCTCTAGGCTGCAATATAGCTAGCAGGACAGACAAAGGTGAAACCTATTACAATCGGCCGAGTACATAGGACAGATTTATGCAAGCTCATCCTATCTGCTCTCATCGACTCAAGGACGGCAATGTGGACAGAAATTTCCACCTGCAGGTCCATTTCCCCGTGTAATTCTCGCTCTGAAAATAAGAAATCAATCGATTCATTCGGGCATCTACGAACGAATCTCTTCTTGGAGTTTAATAGATGGCAGAGATTGTTGATTGCTAGAACGAGTTGAGCTCCATAGCCCGAGGCACAAAATCCACGAAAAAGTTTCACGGTTCCAGATTTAGAATCCGGAACCGTGAAATATGTGTTTGTCGAGATTAAAACAATAATATTTCTCTAGTGCTACTACATGAGCTCATCAAACTATCTGCAGCAGATTTTATACTAAGATTTGACAACATGCTTTTTGATTGAAACATTCTTATTTATCTGATCCGATCGATATCAAAACTGATGGGTACAAAACTCTAATCTATGCTCATAGATGTCAGCAAGTGATTAACAACGTCATCGATTCGCTTTTCAGCAGTTCAAATTTCAAAGACGGTTGATCTTCATTTGTTGCTCGATTTTTGAATCTGATGAAATGTTGGGATGTAATTGCAACAGTTCAAATTTCAAAGACGGTTGATCTTCATTTGTTGCTCGATTTTTGAATCTGATGAAATGTTGTGATGTAATTGCAACGCTTTTTCCTAGAACTAATACGGTAAGGTTTGATTTTTCAGTTTTGTTTTGGAAACAAAATTTGTTTCAAAAAATATTATCAAACTTTGGATTAGAAAGAATTATGGAGACAAAACACTTTTCTATGAACAAATTTTTGTTCATAGAAAAGTTTGAGCATTGACAAATGTTAAATAAAAAATTTGTAATAAAAACCTTGAATTAAAATTAGTCATAAAAGTCACAAAAAGAATTTTATTATGTGTTGTTCTATGAACAATTTATGTTCATAAATATTCAATAGAAAATTTGTATTGAACATGTTTGGATTTTTTTTAACGAGACTAAATTAATCTAATTTAAATTTTCAAGAGATTAAAATAGTCTAAATTTTAGTAGAAAAAATTAAACGTATATAGGCGGTGACTATTATAACCATACCTGGTGTTGAATATAATCTACTGAAAGCCAATAAGCTTTGGCCTCAAGGCTTGTCAAATTTGGTTGAAAAGCGGAACTACGTAGATGGATTGAATTGAAGGGTTGGTCCTCTGAGCGGAGCATGTAAAAGGAATACCAACAAATAAAAATAAAGGTGTAACCAATGGCATTAATGTCCGTAGCTCACTCAATCAGATCCATTTCTAGCCCGAAGTTATGTTCCTATTCCTTTTGTTTGAAAGGCCGGATGTGCATACCAAAGCTTGGGACGCAGACTTGCACTTGTACACCATCCCTCCCTCTGCTCTTCACGTTCATCCACTACCCAACTTCCTAAACATCACTGGTGTACATGTTGCATATGTCAGTTCTGGAATGAGATGATGCCAAGTAGAAACAAAATATAAACATCGAATCACATTGTGTACTAAAACGAAACCATTCTTTAATCCAATATAGTTCCATGATGAACACACCATTGACTTCATTTATCATTTAGATAAAACCATGTACAAGTAACCTATAGTACATTTATCTTATATATCTATTACAGTGAATGATTACTGTGGATACAATGGACATACATTGATTGAAATTATTTACATATTAAATACGTGGGATGGCAGGTGCTCTCACATGCAGGAAAATGTCGAAACACCGACAAAAACATGTAACAAAAAAATTAAGCCCTATAATCTAATTCCTTGGCTGGTGTCACCGCATGGTAATCCATCAACAAAGGACTACCCAAGGTACGAACCCATAGCAGGCTGGAAAATAAGCACCCGGGGCCGGAAGGAAAGGAGGGAGGGAGAGCTGATCTCTCTCGTGGTATGTCCATGTTTCCTACATGCATTGATTATATAGATAAGTGGCTATGTCTGCAACCTCGAATCCATAGAGTGGATAAAGCCAGAACTTGCGGATCGAGCCTAGATGGAGAAATAGATTTGGAAGAGCCTGAAGAGTAAGTGTAAGTAGGCAACGACCGAGTTCGGGAATAGTCCTGCACTCGATTCTTGGTGTCAAACGTACTCGATCACGAATTTGAAAGTGGCATACTTTATTGATTTGTGGTCGGTTCAGACAAGCTCTCAAACTTGACGAAGCCATCGCTCATCGGATGAAGATCTCCTTCATGGCTATGGTGGTGTCTTCTGATTCTCGTCTCGCGTGAGTGAGTGAGTAAGTGAGAGGGTTGGTGGACTGGAGCTCGCAGTGAAGCTCTAGACTAGACGACCACAGGCAGGGAGCAATGGAGTGGAGAATCTAAGATGAGGTGAAGGAACGCAGAGCCCCAGGGATGCTCACGCTGTAAGCCAGCGAGGATCATTCTCACTGCTCACAGGGGCTGACGGCTGAAAGCTCGGATCCAATCAGTCGAGACGAGCTTGGAAGCTGCGACGGACATGGAGTTATTTATGACCGAGGCATGATCCTCACAGCACACAGAGAGGGAGAGGGAGAGGGACGAGCCTACTCAGAAGTCTCCCTCAGGATGTATCAGAGAACGCAACCGCAGTCGTAGACATAGAGATTCCATAAAGTGCAGAAGATCCAGAAGATCAGAAGGGGAAGTCAGGCATTTCAACCAGTCAGTCACCGACTCAATTTACTCCCAAGCGGGGGAACAGATTCGAGGTCCGCTGGGTCAGCTGGGTCAGCTGGCACCGCAGGCAGCAGGCAGGCAGGCTCTGCACTCATCCTATTCTACTGCGAGGGGAATCCGGTGCTGCTGCTAGTCGTCATACAGTGAACGTAGAGATCCCTTGAAGCAAATGGGGACATCCTGAGGAGGAGAGAATATGGCTGACTGGCTGCTAACCTAATCATTCACCGAGGGGGATCCATCCACTCGCCAGGGAGATGGAGAGGGAGAAGGAGAGGAGAGCAATTATCATGATCAGCACCTCGTTGTTGCACTTGGGAGTCGGTGCGGCAGCTGCTGCGGCTGCTGTCTGCAAGTGAACGAGGGAGGGAGCGAGCGAGCGAGCGAGCTAGCATCCACAACCGATCAGGTTAAAACCGAGTAAATAAGAAAAAAGGATGGGAAGTCGCACGGGGATCATCCTATCTACTGGAGATCTATGTGCTGCACTGCTGGGCTGCACTCTACCATTACGGCGGTCACGAGACGTGTACAGCCTTCATGCTTTCATCGCTGGCTTCGTGTGCCAGTGAACATGGAAACAAGTAGGGCGGCATCACATTTCTACTCACCCTCGCTCTTCTGACGTCGCCCCTGACTTTTACGCTGTCACAGCTCCGGCTCCCACTGCCACACTATTATCTCTGAGAGTTCTCTCGAGCCCTGGAGCTGTGTGGTACGGAGCTGCCTGGCTCCTTGGTAGCTCCCCTTGGGCCAAGATTTATTAGTAGAATTATGTCAGGCCGAGTAAGGATCTCACTTCGGATTTGGACCTTCCGAGTAGAAAGACGAGTTGTTGCCTGTACATTGTCTGCCAATTGCCCATATTCTACCGCCAGTCATTCATTCGGCCATGCGAGAAACTCCTGTACATTACATCAGATTATGTAGTACGACGTCCCCTTGAGCCCACCATTAACAGGAAGCTCACTGCCATTTCTAGACAACTTGCGGATGGTACGATATAAGCGAACGTGCTCTACACTTGTTTCATCTGGTCTGCTTGCCTCGTGTAAGAAGACAAACAAACAAAATGTACGCTTCTCTAGCATGCATCGGATGAGTTTGAACCTCCTCCGCATCTCATGCCACAACTTGCATTCGGTCGTCGTCAGTTTGAGGTCACACCATCCGCTTCAGATCAGCCCTCATCCTCGTTCCATTGAATTTCACATTGCTTGTCAGATCAGATCACACGTTACGGTTGCAAAAGGGCATATCAGAAGTACTTTTACCTTTTCTTCTCGAGTTTTTGGCTTGCTTTTCCTAAAGGTTTGGCGTCTGCCTTCTCGTCTCCATCATCCAACTGGTCTGAAGCATTTTATTTTTTTATGTCTGAGATCATGGTTGATGAGTATGATGGAGTCTGACCATCCTTTTTACCATAAACATGGTCCCGACCTCTCTCTCTCTCTCTTTGATTTCTTGGCATTCCTAGTTGTGTACTTTCAGACCCTCGTCAACTCAAGTCCAAAACAGTCAGAGAAGGTATAGAGTCCTTGTGCTGTATACGTAGTGAGGTATTCCTACGAATTTGTATGTAGTCAAAGTCAAGCGTATACAACTCAGTAATCACAAGAGTCTTATGAAGCATCATTAAGACGTAGATTCAACTGCTGTCTCGTCTGATTAATCCTTTTATATTTCTGTAGTGGTCGCTTGTTTAATCACCTGACTGGTACACAGCTGTTACCTCACAATCGATTAAACACATGTGATTTAATTGAAGTCTACGCAAATTGAATATCTTAGAAAGTACGGAAGGTTTATGAAGACACCATACCCTACCATACGGTACGTTTGAGACCTCATGGTTGGAACCTGATTTTCTTTCTGTAAAGGAAGCCAAGTGTGATATATCGTTATCCAGATGTCATTCTGTGAGTACATTGGTGACATTTACCTCGTTGCTGATAAAGTTGCTTTCTCTTCTTATGAATGTTCTCTATCGTGGACAAATTGACATAAAATACCTGAACAGATTTCTGATATTGTGTAGTTTTATCGCACGGTATGCTTGAGCTTTAAGCTCTCCGATTCAAGTCGACTGTGAACCGGTTTGTATCTGGATTCTACTTGAAGATTTGTCACAACCTCATTTCCAATATTTGTTTCTATGTGCGAACATTGTTTGCTCGTTATGAGTTTGGCATGAAGAACCACAGCAGCGTAACCAAAAGGCTCTAAACTATGCTCCATGTTAAACACTGTAGTTGATCAAATTTTTCTATAAACTCGCACATAGTTCCTTGATTTGTTTATCTCAAAAGACATGTAATATGAGACGAGATTATGTGAATTACTCATCTTGCGAGCCGGAAACCCAAACCTTTTCGGACAATGCCGAGTCTGAAAAGAAAAGGAGAAAGGAAGAAATAGGAAGAGAACTGATTAGAACTTTGGCACCTCTACTGCGCGACAATCTGGGAGAAAGTTGTGGGTCGACACGGTTTAGGTCAATGTAACAGCGATCGAGACATTGTCTACTTTCAAGGACGTTCTTACCACGATAATAATAAGGGTTTAAGAGGGATATGAAAACCAGTAAAGCTACCTACAAAAGACAACTCTGAACAGGACATAGAACCCATTATTCCATACCTCAAATACAAATTGAGTTGAGTCAAAGAAACAACAACAAATACATGTTTCCGAAAGCAAGAACCGTAATGTACGACAAGTACGAGCAGTACACTAAAGGGTGTCACATGGGCATACAAAGTACGAAGAAGGACGAGGTGAAATCGAAGCTCTAAAATAGAAGAAGGTCTGGGTTTCGATCCAGGTTGGAAAACATTATTTCATTTGTGGATGTGGATCAGCTGTATACGATTGGGGACATGCCTTGTGGCAACGCCACTAGCTCAGAGAAAAGAAGAAATCATGCACTCCTTCACATTTACACCTGGCGGCTGTGGTAGCCAGAGGGGCCAAGCAAGATGGACTGATGGAGTCGATGCATGATTGTGGATCCGCGAATACTCGCCATATCGACATCGGTAAAGTCGTGGTGGAATGTTCGCATGTACCGATCGGCTGGATTTCCACCATCTTCTCCCACCTTCCGCGCTAGCACAGATTCCTCTCCACCACCTCGAGAGCATATGATGAAAAGCTTCTGCAACACAGATGCCCTCCAAAGGGCACGACAAGCTCGGGAAGATTGGAAAATAAGAGGGACCACAAATAAGCTGATCAAGCAAGGTACATCTAGTCTCTTCTCTGTACACATCCTTTGCAACAATGGTATGGTATCCAACAGCGATGGCAGGTAGTATATTCAGCTTCACAAGCCTTGAGTTCTGCAACCTTCAGAACCTTGCAACCATTGGTGAAGAAGTTTTTAATGTTCACAATTGGAGCATGGGGAACTTCACTAACCGCTCCTCGTGGAGGGATGTATCTTGACCGGATATGGAGAGTCAACTTTCTGTTTTCTTGGTCCACATGTTGTGGGCCCAGAGTGAGGTCAGACACTTCCACAGTGAAAGCACTTTGGGAGGGGGAAAGACATAATGCAGACCTTTTTACGAAGAAAATACACCTCCTACCGATTACCTGTAAGTTACAGAGAAAAGTATCCAATGGGTTTTTGGAAACTACTTTCCTGGTCACATCCAATCTCATTCTGTAAACCGACTCCTCTGAATGATTGATCCCCTGCTCCTTCGCTTGAAATCGTTTCATGATAAGCGAGCATCGGACATGATTATTCATCGATGAGTTCTAGATACAAACTCGTGAAAAGTGGATCGTATGTTGTATAAGAATACATGCAATACCGAAGGAAAGACGTATACTGTGACACTCGTGTCTGTATACAACGAGATCATTGGAGCGTGAACCAAAGCTTTCAAGCACCCTTTGGTGCTGAGTAAGTGTTTGTTGTGCTCTTCTTTCAGGGTGATTCAACTCGCAGAAGTGGTACACTTGGAACGAAGGGATTGACCACGTTTGTTCATCAATACATGATGGGTCTCAGGACGAGGATTTGAGGAGTGCAATTCTTGCTCCTTCACCATTGACACAACACTGGTCAATCGGCAAGGAAATGGCGTGGACCATCGACCTCTCTCGTGTGGAAACCGTGTTGAATTTTTATGTGATGTACTTTTCGGGTTCGGTCGTTCTGCATGAGATCAAGTCAAAGAGTAGAGCTTGTACTGTATGCTCATTGAAGAAGTCGTGTGAATATGGGACACATTGTTGCACACGTCTTAGTTATGACAACGAGGTTTCCTTTGGATTAGAAGCAGCAGCATGACATTGATTTGCGTTTAGGATTTAGCTTGAGCTCCTCCAAATGTCGAATCCACGACTCAAAAATCGCAAGGAAAGTCGATTCCCACAAGTTGTGGGAGTCGACTTTCCATGCGATTTTTGAGTGTCATGGGCCATGACACATCAAGTAGTTCCACAGAGCTTTCCGAATGCACTCCGCATGCCGAGTTGAATATGAGGATGAGCTACGGTTGAATGTCTACGAACAGCGAGAAACGAGCAATGCATGCATTAGATTCATAAACTTCGTGGAAAGGTCGACAGCGCCAGTGGAAATGAACGAAAAGCTCAATGCTGTCCATCTAACGATTGGTATGGATGGATAAACAGTGTGCCACGTTCTCTCCAATCGTTGACGATTTATTTCACAAGGAGCTCCTCCCCCACGTATTGAACTCTAGGAAAGCATCGAGGACAGTGGCAGCTAAATTCTCATCGCGTCACTCTTTTGTTCATCGAAGTAATAAGGGCATCGCTTGTGCCATAAATGTTTCCAATGAATAATTACACGAGGTGTCCCACGCATGTGAAGAAAACCTATGAATCGATGGAGCAACTTGATTCTTCCATGGAGCTAGCAGATTCTTTCCTCCACCACCTCCCTTGATTTCTCAGCAATCTTAACCTGTTGAATAAGTCATAGAAATGGTCGTAATCCCTTCGATGGGGAACGAAAGGGATTGCAGAGAGTTACATGAGATTGGACGAAAAAATTAGTTTACACATTTCCCTCGTTTTCGACGAACCGGGGTCTTGGGAACTGATCTAACCAGAGCTCAGACTCTGTGAGAGAGAGAGTCAGAGCTGCTGCTGCTTCTGCGAGCCTCGGAACTTTTGGCTCACAGCCTCGCAGGACAGAAACTGACCATGCACGTGCATATGTCATGATGAGCTCGGGGCCGACAGCTGTCCTCCATGTCCACGAATGTTGACCACGGTGTGATTTGCGGGAGGTGCACCCAGATACGCCCGCGTATACTCCATTGGCATGAGAAAATGTCGAACCAGCATTAACTGCGGTGAGTCATGAGCTCACAGCGCACAGTCGTAAAGTGCTCGTGATCTTTGGACTGTATCGGCCCGGAACCTCTTCCTCGATCCATACCGATACCGCAGTTCCTGGATCAGATCCTCTACTGCTAACGTATTCAGGACATGTCCCCATGAATCTCGGTCCCAGTTTTCCCAGGAAGAATCCCATGCCACTGCTCAGCATCAAACTGGTCAATATCTTGCAATTTACCATCTTCTGATTCATTCACTCAGATGGCTTGTGGTAAAAATATTCAACCAAATCTACAATTGAGCGGTACAATTTCTATGTTCTGTGACCCTCCACCTTCAGATTAGAGCACCCGCGTACGGAGCCCCATGCAGTGACTGCAAGGGTACCTTCAGCCCACAGTATAACGCTGATGGAAGAATACTCGGAGTCGCTTGATTAGCTGATCAGGACCTTGGGTCAAGCTTCGCTGCACTCTTGAAGTGACAGGGGAGGGCAGCGAGTAAGATATCCACATTTCTCGTTCACAGTCAAAAGCAGCTCGCCCTGGCTGCCACAGTAGTCATGGTCAGGGAAAGGAAGAGCTTGCGCATTGTATTGTATAAACCATAGTGCGCACTGACTGCTCGACGGGTCATGGTTGACGGCCATGGACTCGCACGGTGCCACTCAATGGAGGGCACCAGGTAGCCCGGATCCGACGGCTGTGCGGGAGATGATTCATATGCGGACGTATCTTTCTTAATTGCGGGGTTGGAGACATAATTGGACGCAAAGCGTGCACTTTAGGACGCACAGCGTTGAATATAAAGCTTGGCCAGAGACCATGAGATGCATCCCCTCACTGCAGAGCTCGGCCTGCAGCCACTGACAGGATCATTGATGAACAGGGGCTCGGAACAAGCTCCCTCCTCACCTGTGCATGAGTTGGCTCACTTCCCGGGACCTGTCGTCTTTCGTCCCCTCAGCAAGCAAGCAAAGCCAGCCTGCCTGAGTTTGCTCTCTTGTGCGTTCCTGGCAAGAAACCAACTCGGGGCAAACGATCTCAGCTCAGATTGTTGTATCAGTCTCCAGTCAGGAGCCTCTGAGCGCAGCGTGCGAGGGCCTGGGTGATGATCTGTAGCCTCGAGTGTAGCATCTCATCTGATCAGCAGTAGCGCTGATTTTGGAAGTTTAAAACCCCATTGACAGCTCCCTTCATTCCATCGAGTGCTCTCACATTCGCCGTCCACCTCCTTTCCAGAGAGCTGAGCCGAGCTGTGCTCTCGCCGTAGTGGAGCTTGTAATCGCTCCCGGAAGAATAATCACGTGTGTCATAGACAGCACCAGTGTCAAGCGTCGAGTGAGCAGCTCCAGTAATCTCTCTCTCTCTCGCTCTTGCTGTCAGTCAGAGGTTGCAGCTGCAGCTGCTGCTGATGCGATGGCCCGTCGAGCAGTTCTCGCTCTCGTGCTTCTCTCGGCGCTCTGTTTGCAACTGACAGCCGAGGCTGGACGAGCATCGACAGAGATTACCAAAACCAAAAACGTCGACCTGTTCAGAGAACCAAATGAAGCGGAGATTAGTGATTTCTACAGCTGGGTAGCTAGAGTCGGACAGAAGTTCCAGCTGAAGAAGCTGGCAGCTGCGCAGCAGCAGACACCCTCTGCAGCAGCGACAGTGCAGCCCGCTGCGGATGGCGACATTCAGACTTACATCGTTGTGGACCAGAATGGTCAAGGACAGTTTCTCACCGTGCAAGATGCTATCAACTCCATCGAGAAGAATCAGAAGCGCACAACTCGCATTACCATCCAGATCAATGCCGGTCGATACGAGTACGTTCGCCACCTGCTCCCTCCCCTCTCTCTGCTCATGCACACATTTCTCCGTACCGTCTCCAATGCCGCCCCCCACACACTGCCACCCCCACGAGTTCGACTCCAGCTCCGTCGAGGAGAACTCACGTCTCCGGGTCCGAGATGTACTTGGTTGCGCACGGTACCCATTGACGATGTCTGCATCTGATTCTGATCTACGTCGTACTGTATGTTTTGGTGTGGCAACAGGGAGAAAGTTCTGATCGCTAAGAACCTTCCATTCCTCACTCTTCAAGGCGCTGGGAGGGAGAACACCATCATTGTGCACGCTGAAACGAAGGAGCAGGCAGGCAGTGACATTGCGGATGCTACGGTCGCCATCAGCGCACCCAACTTCATCGCCAGAAATATTACATTCCAAGTGAGTTCAACTCATGTCCTTGGCTCTGTGTGCTAAACTCTGTTTTACCTGAGGTCCGTATCTTCGCCCGTCTTCCAGCTCGTTTGGTAGATAATGGCGCTAGCTTCACTGGAACGAGGGGAAAAGAGTGGCACACAAACACATTCACGCAGTAGATCCTTCGAGAACGGCAAAATGTTGTCGTGTCAGATTGTGGTCTACTGGGGTCTGGACTCTCTGCCCATCTGCTCTTTAGTGGACACTCTCCTCAACACTGCGCGACTCAGAACTAGATCTCGATGTCTGATTTGCTGCCATCTTCTACCCGTGCATGAACGGAAATAGCTACTGGGATGGTGCATATCGAGAAACCTACGAGCAGATGCGAATCTGTGAAGGGCATGTGCTCCGGTCTCGACTGGATTAGACAGGAGTCGATGTTGGTTAGCTCGTGGGGCTGTGACTTCCGACACTGACCAAGCTGTCTATGTTCATGGCCGCAGAATTCTGCACCTGCCCCTCCGTCGGGAGCTGTCGGTCAGCAAGCTACAGCCCTGTACATTTCAGGGGACATGGGCGCCTTCTACGGATGCGGCTTCCTCGGAGCTCAGGACACTCTGTACGACCACAATGGCCGCCACTACTTCGAGGAGTGCTACGTCGAAGGGTCCATCGACTTCATCTACGGAGACGGCAAGTCGCTTTACAAAGTGAGTACCGAGCAGCAGCAGCAGCAGAGCCTGATTTCAGCCCATGATTTTCTGTCACCACATTTGTCTCCAACAGAGGAGGCAAATTGAGCCACTCGCTTGACCGCCTCGTTAAGCTTTCCACTGGTTTACAGCATTCGTGTTTCTGTGCTGGGAGAGTGACGTGCCTGACCGTGTGCTCCCACGCGCCATGCAGAAATGTCAATTGAATGTGATTCCAACCAAGACCGGGTCACTGACTGCACAGAAGAGATTGGGCGGAGATGAGGACACCGGATTCTCCTTCGTGGATTGCGCGGTGACGGGCATGGGCAGGGTTTACTTGGGCCGTGCCTGGGGAGCTTACTCTCGTGTCGTGTTCGCCAACACCTGGCTAGCCGACATCATTATCCCTGAGGGTTGGCAGAATTGGAGCGATCCTTCCCGCGAACAGTGAGATTCTCTCTCTCTCTCTCTGTCTCTCTCTGTGAACATGAGCAAGGTGTTCTACACCAGCTGGTTGAAAACAATTCTGAGGTGGTTGAAAAAAATTGTTCATGTCGATGGGTGGCTGACAGAAACTGGTGTTTTCGCGCAGGACTGTGTACTATGGAGAATACGATTGCTTCGGCCCTGGAGCAAATTCTGCTGGACGGGTGTCGTGGTCGAAGATCCTCTCATACGCTGAAGCCGAACCTTTCATGACTTTAAGCTTCATCGATGGAGAGAGCTGGGTCTTTTAGTTAGAAAAGCTTAGAGTTGGTATTTCTCAATTTTTCTCTCGGTTCACGGACAGGAAATAAGTGTCTGGAAACTGCACAGAAGGTTTGGAGCATCGTCAGACTCCATGGTGCGGAGACACGAGTGAGATTGTCATCCATGTGAATATTCTTGGCCGGCTAGCTAGATAGACAGTGTCAAAAGTAGGCTGGTGGGCGCCCTTTTAATCTTCCCCCACCAGATAACATAGTACAGCTCCATTCATGATTTCCAGTCTGGGGCACTCAATTTTCTCCGGCCATGTGACACATTTCACTGACCCCCTGCTGTAATGCTCTTGCAATACCAAGAATCAAAGTACGAATGTCGCACCACTATCATCTTCAACGTGAATGCATCCACTGTATGCTTTCCAGTTCTTCACATTGTGGAAATCTGACAGAGTCGACATGTCATGTCGGTCGCCTTATTTATAGTCATGGCTGTCACTCAAGGCAAAGTATACTCAGGACCTATCAGATCTCCTGACCCTGCTTGCATCCAGACTTTCGCTTAATCCTGAGCGGTTGTTAATTCAGACTTCAACAGCTGGAGCTGCCTCTTTTCCTTTTCTCTGATCGGATAGTCTGATCGTACTGAAGTCACGTCAGAATTATGAGCCTCGATGCTTGTCAAGTGGGCTGGAAGCAAAAACCGAATACTGCAGCAGGGACAGCGAGAACTAGCCTCATTGTAATGTTTTCAGAGCAGGATGAAACAAACCTCTGGGCCTGCTCGCAAGTTGTATGACAGAATTGTACTCTGATAGCGTCCAGACCTTGCAGTCTGTACCTGTATCGTACTCTGCCGCATGGCCCACTCACTCATCTGAGAAAGGCGAACGATTCAAAACTCCTCTCTCTCTCTCTCCCTCTCCCTCTCAAATGGAAGCTCAAGCAGCACGAAGGAGAGAAGCCTTGCCTGCCTCGGCACTGCTCACGGACAAAGAACCATCACTCGTGCCTAGCTAGCAACACTAGGAGCCGCTCGCAGTCATTAAGCCCACTCCACGAACGCTGCGGGAGTAGATCGTGTACTTGAATTCTGAGTACTTTGGCCTTAAGCTCGCATCGTGGAGTAAGCACAGCGAGGCGGCTACTCTACGCCACGACGGTGCACGGAGCCATCAACCATCGAATCGATGGTTGAATAGCACAAACGAGCTCCCTCCCCTGTGGCAAACTAGTAGACCTATCGTGACCAGTTAGACATAGATGGCAATGAATCGAGCGAGCGAGCGAGCGATAGATGGCGAGTGATATGAATTCTGGACAGTTGCAAAGGTCGATTATGTTCAGAATCAGCCCTTTATGCAGCAGCCGCTTTACAGCTGAACATGTCGGCTTTTCGTGCCGGTGATTCGATTCGTGAGACGTGGATGGATCGACGCGCGAGTCTCCAGCTGCCTCAGCGTTCCGCACTCGAGGTGACGGAGGACGGGAAAGGCAATTGTACGGGGCTTGAGGTTGAGGTTGAGGGATTGGCAACGGAGCTATGCGATTGCAATCAATGCCCGAACTCAGAGCGCGGTCCGAATCGATCTTGGATCTGAATGAACGATCGAGAGCCACCAACATCGCTCAAGGATGAGAAGAGCCTGGATCTGAACATGTCGAATCCTCAGGCGTAGGCTCTCGTTGCACTCGCCGTCATAGTGTCGTATGAACTCGCCCATCGTACGCTGCGGCAATTGTGTCAGCTGCTGACGTTTCGAGCTTCGAGCTTCGAGCACGAGCTGAGAATCCGAATCATAATGGGAAGTCAGCGAGCGATGAGGGCAAACTCATTCTTTTCAGTCGTATCGAGTTTCAGAGTTCCCCATACCTGACTCAATATTCTGATTATCTGAGCACCTCAGGAATTACACACTTCATTTAATTTCCTGTTCGGCTTGTTGCAAAAATCTTCAAACCTATCCAATGTTATTTTAGACGGAACATACATCGTTTATCTCCTATGTTACTCAGAGTCCTGCATTCCTGGTATCATTGAGATGTTTATATTGTTACATAGATATCGCGTGACAAAATTATAGTCTTTCGTACGTGATGATCAACAATTAATTTTATATATATATATATGAAAAAGGTAATGAAGATTTTCTTATGGGGTCTTCTTATTGAAAAAAAGTAATGTGGATCTATTAAATTATTATTTTTATTTATTCATGAAAATTTACAGTAACACACAATAATAAGATTTCCTGTAGAGTATATCAATTATAGAGAAATTTGCTTGATGGCCCCGTTAGAACGTTTGACTGCTTAATGGGACCGTTGAAGTTCCATTTTACACTATGGTACCCTTCCGACGGCAATTCAATCCACCGTCACCGATGTTCTACTGCGAGTTCTTGTAATTTCTTTCAATCCGGGTTAGGAAAAGCACTGAGTCTCTTTGTTGAAAAGTGAAATGCATTTCACGCAACTGACATGATTTCGACCAAGAGTTTTAGAAAAAAGAAATAAGTAGTGAGTAGATTATGCCTATACATTATAACTGTAAAATCGTGAGAAATTGGACTCTTCCACGATGAAGATTGGGAACCATGGAAAATCTTGCTTCGGGAAGAAATCATTTTTTTTTAATTGAAGTGGAAACAAATCAGATACAAGAACATAACTGACGGTGATACTTCGGAGTGGTACCATCGGATAAAATGGAAAGTATTGGTCCCATCAAGCAAATTTCTCATCAATTATATTACCTAAACTGGTTTCTATATTTTATAACTAATTTCTATATTGTTGATACTACATAATATATTGATCATGGTGACAGATGGGCTCACCACAGCCAATCATCAAAATTTTCTTTCTCCAAGAGAATCATTCAAACGAAGAACTCAAATAGCATACCTTCGGCCCTTAGTTGTTCAAAAAGCATTCAAGGACTTTTCGGGACATGGTCTTCCATCTCCAAAGCGAATGAAACATATCGCGAATTTGAAGGTGACCGGACCGTTTGTGAAGTGTCCGGGTTGGTATCGGGACTGCCGGACACTCTGAACAATCTGCTGGATTTTCCTGGAGTAGACCCAAAACCACGGGGTCGGGTTTTAATCCGCCGGCTTCTATCAATGCCGGCTTTCTGGAGGCAGGACCACTGACGCAAGCGGCAGAAATCGCGGGTTCAGGACTTTTCCCTTACTGCGAATGATAGAGTGACACGTGGAAAAGAGAACTGAGACGTGGCCGAGGAGCCATCCTGTAAATTTTGTCGGATGTCGGTTAGCAGCAAAGGCGGAAATCGGAATTCGAGATTTCAAAGAATTTGGGAAAATCAGGGACAAAACAGTTCAGAATCCAGAGTCCAGAACTGTTAACTTTACGCACACCAGTTGACATAGACTTTATATTTACCAAATTCCATTGCTATAATTTCTTCGTTGTAGCTTTTCGTTTCTTGTTTATTTCAGTTTCTAATATGAATTTGGTCTCTCTCTTCTCACAAAGTCAAAGATATGATCATTAATGCGTGGTTGTAAATCCTTTCCATATGAGAATCATTAATGGAACCTCTTTGTTTGTAACTCTCATGTTTGATTTCTTCAAAAAGGTAATGAGAGAATCCGCTGATCGAAACTTCACGCCCTCCTTTGTCATTTGAGAAAATTTAATCAATACAAAAGGAATGAATTTGTAAAAGGTTCAAAAGTGAAACGATACATTTATTTAGACTTGAGTTCACTCAATTTTCCTACACGAATATACATTTCCAGCAATATAGTGATACCAAACGTCAAGGTATAAATTATAAATGAAACATGGTTTATATTGAATAAGTAGGATTAATATAAATTTCGTATACATATAAAAAGAATAATAACTTTGAATCTACTCATTGAATGAAATTAGAGAGAGAATTGACGAAGGAACGAACGAGAACATTACAAAAACAAAAAAACAAAACATATATATATATATATGGCAGTGAAGCCCAACCTAGCACAATATAAATTCTATGATTGTTTGGCTATGTGATCAATGAGGTAGGACCTGGACATGTGAGAACCATGTATAGCTTGCCAAATACCAACTATCCAATTCCTGAACAACGAGGTTGATGCCATCAACTAAATAAAAATTGTATATACGTCTCACACGGGGATGTACATGTATTTACATCCCCACATTACACATATATTTCCCCCTCTTGGGGCTAAGTATATGTCATATCCCTCTGTGAATGACCTCTTTGATGGCGAAGGGAAAGAAGTCTACGAGGTCATTAACCACAACTACACATGCACATAATATTCCTATAGAACATGGAAATGAAATCTAGTAAAGATAAGAACATCCATATATGACAAGATTGATAATACAACACAGTATCGTCCAGAATTTACCTTCGATTGATGACAGTAATTTATAAAGAATTGTAACTTTGTCCAAATGTGAACAGTTCAAAAGATTAGATTGCAAATAAAATTGATATGTATTTCAACACTTTAGAAGTAAAGGACGTCTATTTTTTGTATGTGTTATCATATCTGATTTTATTCCATGGTATACGTGTGCGTTGAATTTGCACAGTTTTAGGATGATTCTTTATATGCACTGTGTAGTTTCTAATTCTTTTTGGTAGGCTTTTGATGAATCACTTTCGTAGCAATTTCTGATAAGCGTTTGTGGTTTGTAGCTGACGTTTAAGGTAAGTACTCCAACATCTTATGGAATGTGTACTATGATGTTTAGGCCTACGAAAATTTCAAATTCACCACTTATGTTACATTAATCTAACCAAATGCATTGTCTACAATCCCTTAGTATACAGACGTAACGTGATCAGCCTGAAGACAGGAACCCGCGAGGTTCCCTGTCAGATGAAAGACGTCCACTCAAATAGTTACGAATCGACGAGCACTTTTGACTATTGATTTGATGGCCAGAAATTGTGAAAATAAACGTAAATCTCAGGGCAGAATTGTGCTGCAAGCGATCCCCCCGATTTATGGCAGACGTCCTGGGCATTGGTATTACTGGGTGGAAGCATTCACATATAAGACTCCTTACATGTGGGCATGTGTAAACCAGCTGCTGTTAATCCCGTGATTCCATTCAGACCTCGATGACAATCTTTCCCTTCAAGGTTACATCAAATGTATCTTGTGAGATGTACTGAAAATGGAGCATTACCCAGAAAGCTGTAATGCATGTTCATACGTGATCCAGAAAGATGAGGACAATACATGTCCAAACTCTGAAATGTCCTGTCACCTTAGACGCTACAAGCTTCGTTTCTTCTCCTTGCAGTCATCAACTCATTGCAGTTTGTAGCGCTCTTTAACTAAATACCAAATTGTGGTTTCTTTGGGAGCACCGACTGTGCTCCCTTGAAGACATATCTGGAGATGGCTGACGACTCGGAACTCTCCGGCCTCATGCATGCGCCTCGAGGGAACCAGGTTAAATACCAGCTGAACCAGCTGAATACATGCTTGCCTTCAGAGGTCGAGGTTCCTCCAACATTTGGCAAGGCAGATCTAATTCCATCATGGTCGTCTCTGCAAGCCCATACAAAGACCACTGCACGTCCGCGAAAATTCCTGATCAAATGTCTGCCTAGCAACAGATCCATCTCCCTGAGAATCCTCGTAAGCCTAACATCCCCCCGCTTCAAGGAACAATCTGAGCTACAATATCGCCTGCACATCATCTCACAGCTGTCTGTGCAAACCAGAATGCTAATTGAGCACCGACCTATAGATCTCACAAAACATTTGGATTGACCACCAGGCCGCTGGAGCTAGTCCCGAACATGAAACTCACGACTCATGCAAACTTATCGACTTTGCACCGGAGTCGGAACGGGTCTTGCAGTGGTGACTGCCGGTGTACCAAGAGAGCCAACTTGGATGTTGTGATGACTCCATTGTACCTCACAGACGACCCACATCCGTCCCCGTGCAGACTCAAAAACTTCGTTCTTCGAGCCTCATGCAGGCTGAAACCGCTCCATCTTATGGATCCTGTTCCTTCATAGGTGGCCTTCCATGGGCCAAGGAGAGAGATTCCGAGACCTCCACTTGTCAGCGAACAATGCTTCCCCTGAACCTTCAAAGGTCTCAGAGTTCTCTACATGTGACGTCACTGAGTAACAATCTCAGATTGTTCATACTCTTCACTGGTTCAGCACTGAAAACAAGGTCCAGGTCAAAAGACTTTAAAGGGCCGGCAAAGCTGTTTACCTTCGCATGAGTTTATTGATATATACTCTAAATAGATTTCGGGAATCTACAGCATACTGACAGACTTGACACTACTTGGGTGAAGTATGGCACAAGGGTTTTGTTGATAGAACTAGCATTACTGTATAGAGCCCAGAAAAAAACAAGGCTCGATTCGATTTGGTTAGGTTTAAGAAGGTCTAATCGAGAAAGAAAGATTTGCTTGTTACTCTTACATTCTCTACTGTAACACAGAAGACCAGCCTAGGCTTGTATTCCCACGTTTCTATTGTAACACCTCTGCCAATCAGGAGTAATCACAGATCAGCTCTTCAATCCCTGTTGGGGCGTGATCCGAAGAAGAGACGTCGATCTTCTCAGGTGAAGACTAAGGACAGCTTTTGGTAGATACAACAGCTGTGTATTGCAAAAAATCTTCATCATATCAACACTCAAAGAAGATTGTTCACGGTGGCAGTTGCCGAATTTGTCCTGCGCAAGTCCTGCGATAACCACTTACAGAGACCAGTCAGCAACAGTAGATACCATCCTATGTACAAACCTTACATCAAAATCGGCACGTTGACATTGAGCGCATCTCCCAGTGGATTCAACTGAACACGATTCATGTCGACTCAACTGAAAATGGCCAGTCCGAGAGCTAAACGACAAGGAACGCTCGATGGGATAGAAAGCAATGCACCCTAAATCGACCTAGAATATGAGGACTATATGTACTCGTACTTTCTGCAGTTAATAAACTGAATCAGTCTGTCTCTTACCTGTACAATAAGTTCGTCAGGCATATGAGGTAAAACTTCTCGCACCATGTTCACCATAGCTGCCATTCTAGGATCCACTTGGACTCCGATGTCTGGTACAAGATCTCCAGATCTAGATCCTGTTGCACCACTTCCCTGCCGACGTAATCCTCGACTTTCGATTCGGCGTCTGCCAGCTACAGAGACGCTCTCTGTCCCTCTTCCAAACGGCCACCATCCCCAGCCATTGTCCTCTGGTTGGGCTGGGCCACGCCCTGATCCTGAAAGCTGCCGCATCATAAGCTGCATACGACCGATCCCTCCAGAAGATGCCTCACTGGAAGGACCCTCGCCTTCTCCAGCCGCTCCCGGGACGGCATGTGACCAAGATGGATCTACTCTTCCACCTCTGGAAACAACTAATATCAGTGATAACAGACGCAGTGCGGCAACGCTAGACAGTAAAGTCTGTAAGTATCAGGTAACAGTTCCTATTATATGCACGTAAATGCTAGGAAAATTAGAGTTCACCTCCATGGTAAGTTGGGAACTGGAGCATTCCAGGGTTGTCGAGCAAGAGGATCCGAGCTCGAAAGCGGGACAGGAGATCCCGGACTAGTCGGCGACTGTTGACGGATTTGGCCATCTCTATTCCCAGCAGCATTCAACAAGTTGCGTGTCATAACTTCTTCAGGGAATCTTTGCCCACCTTGAGTATTAGGGGGCGAAATTCTGGAACTTCCCATAAAAAGGGGCCGCCTGCAAGTAGGACACGAATACGTCTCCGCTAAACCCTGATCGAGCCTGCACACGATACTCTCACAACTTCAGTATATAGCCAGCTTGTTGAGCGAATAATGAAAGCAGAACACTGAAGTAAAAACGTAAATTCTTCTAATTCGTCGTCACCAAATCGAGCATCATGAATCAAGAAAGATACCAAGATCGAAGGCACGAAAGATGGAACAGATGTGCGCAAGGTAGCCTTTTTGCCCTTGCCATGGGCTCCTGCAACACGCAATACGATAAACAGATGAAATCTCAGCCAGTTTTTGCTGTTTCCACGTCAAAAGTTGTTACCGTTAAACTGTGTAGTCTAAAGACTCCATATATACGAGTTGCCAAATGAGCCACGCAAGGGGACACATGCAAGAAATGGTCACACACCTTGCAGATGGCACAGTCATCTTCATACGCCAAGAGTTCTTCTTGAGTTGCATCTGGCAAGGCTCCTTGTAAAGTGTTCATGGCCGTTCGAAGTCGCATAAAACCTTTGATGCGTTTTGAAATTGCACTCAACAATGCCTGTAAATACAATTGAATCAGAGACCTCTACGATGCCATCGGTGTAAACAAGAGAGACCTGTGCGCGTCGTAGGAACAGACTCACTGGACAATTTGGAAAACCTCGTACCCGTAAATTCAAGAAGAGAACTGCGTCAACAACTTGAAACGCGAGGCCTCGCAGCCACCAAATATGTACACAATGACCCAAGGCTAGCATCAGACTGACGATATCCATTGCAAAACTCCAGTTGCGAACGACTGTTCCTCTCCATTCCCAAGCTGCGCCTGTGCACAAACACTCAAGGAACATATTACAAGCAAGTTCCTGCGGAAGAGCCAATCGGGAACTAACAGGTACACATTACACAAAATCACAATCAGGTAGATTCCAGCGTGTGGAACTGAGACATGACATATCGAAGGTTTGAAGCGGCAATATCGAGTGCCGCTTCAAACCTTCAAGTATGATAGCAGGTTGAAACTGGGAAAATATTTAGAGGCAAAAGTAAGATATCATCATAATTGCATAGAAAGGGCGAACGTTGACAGAGACTACCAGTTATTCAGCAATTAAAAGAATCTAACCAGGGAAGATCAACAGAATCTCAACCACAAGACATTCAACAGAAAGCCCAAATCTGCAAGTACATTTCTAACAGTGAAATCACACGTGAGTAAGCTGGAAAAAGAATGTGCAAGAAAAATTGAAAACATTTCATTTGGAAACAGTTATGGGATGCCAAGATCAAACATTTCATTAAAAAATCTACCCACCTGCAGCAGACCTTTCAGAGGGTTGCATGGTTGCTACATGTGAGGAGGTATCCAGACTGTGCCGCTGCCAAGTGTCCAGCAACTGCATACCATGAACTACTACTGCCTGCAGTGCCAAATGTCATCCCCACATAAAAGTAGTTAAAAACAAACATATTGAAGCCATTTACAACATACAACGCATAAGCACGAATTCGGAACTTAGGTGGCAGCATTTGCGAGCGGGCATCATCTCAACATCTCATTGCCTACTTTCAACCCGCAAAAATTCCAAATTCAAGCCTCAGGGTTGAACACGATAACAATCGAAAAACTTAATAAAGCTGCAAGAACGCACTTTGACATTGGTTCACTGTCCAGTGAGCTCACCTGAAGTGTGTCAAAAGCAATGCTCAGAGGCTCAAAAAGTAGCAGCATGAATGTGCTAGTGCCAGTGTCTTTGAACACCCACATACAAAGACGCATCCTGCATATGTGGAAACACAGGGTTGGACTTACAAAATGGGAGTTTGAAAGTAAAGAGGACTTTAAGAGGATTTGAGATTTCATCCATTGATTCAAGATACCGACCAGATTTACGTAACTCAAAGACGAACATTCAAATGCCAAAGGACAGTTCGTCTGTATCACTAGTCAATTTACGATCTCTCTGTGACGATCCTCAAATCTAGGAGAGCTGAGGAACCATCCAACGGTCGTAGTGCCCCATTAACTGGAGCATGAAGGTGAGGACTAACTACGGCTAGAAGTAACGAGCCACATGCTGCAATGCTGCAACGTACTTCACAGAACTACTTTTAAATAAACCCAAAAAAAAGCGACAAAGGTAGTAGCTGAAGGAGCCACAACCAAGAATAATTGATGACTGATGTGTACGCAGGTCTTAGCCCTATATAGAAAGATCGAAAACTTGCTCTATATCGAGCCTCGACATGCTACAATTACCACTCAGTAACTTGACAGCTTCCTAAGTCCAACGAGCCGTGCATGGTGAACAACTAAGAGATACAGGAATTGAGACTATATAGAAGAACCAGCTGTATCCATATCACAAAATATAGAGATAAGGAAATTACCAGAACAAGTCGGACAAGAGAACGAGTACCAGAACTGCAAAGACCCGCACATGCGCGAGCATAGTCGCCGTAGGAGAGGCGTTCAAACGCTCCAAGCGGTCCCTTGCCAAACCTTGAAACATCTGCAAATTTTCACACGTGAATCGAACGCTGAAACTGCTTGTGCACACTGGAAGGGATATCAATACGACAAGCGACTGCGACTAAGATGGATTTTTCATAAAGCGACTGTATACCTTAAGGAAGCCCAGTACAGCAAACCAGGCCAGCCAGAGGGCGATAGCCATCATTTCAGGCTGAACCACCCAAGTAAGGAAAAGGCCCTGCGAAGCAATGGTTCGAAAATATATTTCAATTCAGAAACATGAAATAATCACAGATGGAAATAGCTGCGTAAACTATACGTCTGAGACCGGCATTCCCCGAGGTAAATCAGCACAAAAGTCAAAAAGAGCCGAGCAAAAACGCCTAATCCTTTTAATTGTTCTCTACTTGGCCCCCGCGCTTTATATTTGTGAAGAAAAAAAAACTCCACATATGGGAGGAAACATAATCTTAAATATGACAAACTCAAGCTAAGGCCCAACTCTTTTTAGTTACCGAGTATGTATAGCAAGGGCTTGGGTCCGTTCGTCAAAACGTTCAAAAGGATTCTTTATCGACGAGATACTTTTTTACGTGCCATGACAATCGCTGGTACACGAGAAGAATTAAAAACTGGATGGAAAAAACCTACAGTAGAGGGTAAACAGACAGGCCATTGAAGAAAATAGATACAGTAAGTGTAGAAAAATTGTTAACGGGTAAAGTGATGGAAGGTTTGGTAATATGAAATGAGCACTCTAACATGTGTGGTCGCCGGGCACAAGTCCAGGAACCTTCGACAGCAAGATTGCATGGTGCTAGAGCAGCACACCATGACTAACCAAAAACTTCATCAGCTCCCGTCGCTGGCTTTTCGGTAGATGCTTTCAAGCAACCCCATCGCCTGGAGTTTCTGTCACCTTTCCGGATATAAATAAATATACTCGGTCATTATATTTGGCCTTAAAGGAAAAAACACACTAGCAAACAAGGACAATCCAACCGAGATCATAATGAAGCAGGAAGCACAGTCCTATCTTATCAATACGTAAACTGGCAACACGAACAGCTTTGAATGACCTGAAGACCTCCCTCGAATTAACCAACGTCCGGATTATATTACCCCTGCAGTACTTGATTACGTTAAACAAACGCTGATTTATGGCCCAAATTACCTCTCTAACAGAAGGCCTGTTGTTGTGGATTTCCTGTTGAAGGATTGAACAAAATGTGCTAGTAATCGAAACTATTCATACTTAAGACATGTCATGCTTTGGTCTAATTGGAGTGATTGACCCCAAGCCTTAGTCCAGAGCATCTAGACTGAAAGGACGTAACTCTGAACGGTCAAAGCGAAGAAGCAGACCTTAAAGAGTACATAGTTTATTAGGCGCTCCACGACCTTTTGTGTCTCCACCAAAGAGAGCTGTCCAAAAAACAGAGTCTGGAAGCAAATCCAGCGACAAAATTAGCGATACAGGAAAATAAGCTGACTGCGGCAGTTGATCAGTAAAGGACAATTCACATTATATGGTACTAATGTCACCTCGGGCTATTCACAAGGGAAAGGACGATCGACTTTCACAGTGTAAAAGATGGACAAAAAGGCAAAGCAAAAGAAAAGTGAGCTGAAGATGAACGATCATTTGGCTTAGATGACATAGATAGCCAGATAGAATAATGAATACTGACCTTCGTAAAAAGAGCCACGAGAAGGAAAAAGTTGAATACGAGGTTTCCCAGCAATGCGATTGTTATGGTGGATTGGAGTAGGGACTGCAGAACCCGGGCAGCATCACTGGGATCCAAAGCTCTCTTTTCCAGATGGACATCTTCTGGAATAGCACCATTTAGCGCAGAGTTGATTCTCCATGCAAGCCCACCCATGCTGAGCGCAGTGTACGTCGCCACAAGCGGACCATATCCATTCCCCATTTCTCCTTCCTTTTTAACACCTATCAATGTTTGAAGAATCCGCCGCGGAACTTAGGAGATCGTCGCACCTAATACCGATAAACTCCGCTGACATTTCTAAATGGTTAACTCCGCTACTTTCGCAAGTAGCTGAATCTAAACTTTCCGCTCCCACATGTTCGTCTAAATTGCAGACGGACACCAATAGAAGATTTGCTTATACCAACTGATCAGTGAACTTCCCACGCTTTCAGCAAACGTTGATGACAGATCGATCAAAGGATCCAATTCTCGTAAACAGCGAGAAATAAACACTTCGAACGCTAAATGGATCTACAGTCCACTGGGGCATTAGAAGAAAACTTATAATGCTCAGAGTGACGTGGCGACACTACTAAGCAACCTGTTTCGGGAGACAGATGAGCTACTTCAGCAGCAGGCAAAACGACCAACAGAACTGTCGGTTGCAGACTTCTCGCGTAGCACTGGTCGCTCGAGCTCCAGCTGAGAAGACAGGACTGTCATCTCATCTATCGCAGAGACTGTGAAACAACTGCTTCCAGTAAAAGAACAAGACGTAAAGCATTATCAGTGAAGCACTACTGGATTGCTGGCAAACCAGAATTGCTCACAACCCTAAAAATCAGCCTCACCCCGTGCGAGTAATTTCAGAGCTCTGTTGGCCAAGCCCCTACCACCCAGTATCCAGGAGTAGGGCTCACTCCGTCCGGGAAGGAAAAAACAGCTTCGTAGCCCCCAGATCAATCACAACCGAATTCAATCGACGCACATCCCCGTCTCGCCAAATTCCGTCTCAGTAGCTCCCGACTCCCATCCTCACGTGCCAAGAAAACCCCCATCAATTGCCAGAAGTCGACATCAAAACCCTAACGAAAAACCTGAATTCCTCGGCGTCCGATCACCTCCACGCCTCGAGGTAAAGAAGACAATTACAAACTTCTGAACTCCAGGGCTGCGGCAAAATCATCGGGGCGCGCTCGCTCGAATCGGCATTGCCTGTGCACGGGCACGCACGAATTCTCCAGCAGGACCGCAACTCGTCTGCTGCTGCTGCTGCTGCTGTGGTCGGACGATGGCAAGGGAGAGGGTCCTTGCGTTTATCTGTGACAGGAACTGTGGTCCCCCAGGCAGACAGCCCGTCGTCCCTTCTCGCTCGTGTCTCCACTTCGGCTCGTGTCGGGCCAATCCTCTCCCCCCTGCCCCCCCTCCTCTCTCTCTCCCTCCCTCCCGTTCTCTCCTCGCCTGCCACGAGCCCTGCTCCTCTAAGTGCTAACCCCCTTCGCTTAATGCACTAAATGCTCGAGCCTCCTCGGCTCCCCCCACCCTCCCCCCTCCCCCCTCCTCCAGCATTTTCCGTTACATCCATTGTCGGCCTAGGCCCATACCTCCGCCCAAAAATTAAACTATTTCTCTTGTGCACCATATTCCACCAAACTACTATTCCCGGCCCATTATCGACATTTCCGGATTTATTCGGATTGTCATTCTCTAGCGACCGCGAGTTCGCATGACTTGCGCTCGGAGAGTTGTAGTTGTAGTAGCATAAAGCATAAAGCATAAACCGGTGGCCGGTCGGTCTCGTGTCTCGCGCGACCGGAAGGATTCTACGGTCCGTCGGTCCATCGGTCGGTCATGGCATGGCATGGCATTTTTAGAGGGGTGGGTCACACTTGAGCTCGAGTCTTGTAATTGTTTGTTTGTTTGTTTGTTGGCTGCGCGGTTCCGGGCAGCGTCTTGTCCGCGACCCGCGATGGACGGAAGGCCGCCGGTGGAGATACGTGGTGACTTGCGGGGATGGACGGGGCAGGAGACCGGAGGGAGGCCAGGGTGACGTGTCGTCTTCGTAGTGTTCGATCTGACTGGGCTTCGTGGCCTTCGATCTACGTGTCCGGCGCAGCTAAATTTAGCAAACAGTGTGATTATCCTCATCAGGTCGAAGTCCTTGCTTCCTTTGTCCCTTCCTCTTCGCAAAACTGGCTTCGACCGATCGATCGGTCCGCTGTTCCCGATCTCTTCGCGGTTGTCCTAACTTCGTTATAAGTCTGAGCAGCAGCGACAGCCTTCATTCCTTAATTCTCCACTTCTGCAAGGCAATGTCCTCTGGTGTCGATTTTCCCTTAGCACTGGATGATGCATAAAGTTGCCAAGTCTGGGGATCGACAACCCGGAGCTTGATTCTGGTTGACTCTGTTTTACTGGTTTTCCTAGCAAACCAGACACATTGGATGGTATAAACTCGGCCGTTATTCCGAGCATGAAACTTTTTGCACTTGATTAATTTACATCGGCTCGAGAGATGTTGTGTAACCCATAAGTTGATAAGTTGAAAAACAACTGAGTGTTTTTACTCGACATCTCCGCTGGAAACTTGGATTGAAGGTACGAAGACAACAAAGTCTTGATGCTTCACAACAAACGTCTGTGAAAGTTTGCAATCTGGGTCAGGTCACGGACTTGGCCCCCTAAGCTTTCCCCTCGAAGATACATGACCCTTGTAGCAGAAGCATAGATATATTAAGGTAACAAAGTTCATATTTTTTCATAATATCGAATATACCAAATTTATAAACATGAGTGAACGATCAACATACAAACTGGCATGAGGTATCTAGATTGTCTACTAGCGTTCTATTCATAAATTTAACTCGTTGGTCTTTTAATTAATCCTCTTCTCTTTCAACCAAAAGATGAGAATATGGAGGTAGTATTATTGATTTCTCAATGTGACTAAGTATTGCATGACATCACTTTAAAGTGAGAGGATTGTGTAAAACTCTTATTTTGAATTTTGTAAACAGTGGTAAACTTGTAGATTTTTGCCTCTTCAGATTTTATCCTCTAGTGTTTTTCTCAAAGGTTCAAATGAAATATCTTCATTATCATATTTTCAAATTAAGTTAAATATTTCAATGAATCTCTAGCATATTTCATATACTTAACTTCATCATATTAATTTTATTTCTTAAAGAGAATAACATTCTACTTGTTAGAACATTCATCTCAAAGTTATCTAATCTCATAATATAATAAAGTATCGTGAACAAATTATAAAAAATAGAAGAAAAAATTGATTAAGTCTAAGAAATGTATGTCAAGTCATAACATGAAAAAAAAAATGAACGAATATAAGAAGGAATAAAATTGTGTGTCACAAAAAATAATATTGAATGAGTATAATGATGATTTAAATGTAAATAATGTTCTATATCATGACTTCCTAGAAGCACATTACATGTTTTTATTGAAAAGTACATATTAAGCATATAACATCAACAAAACTATTCTAACTTTATACTACGCTTGCAATTTTTGTATATACTGTGCGAGAATTATTTTTTTAAATATATGGACACAAGTAAAAAACTTGTCTACATATATTGAAGTTAATATTGAAACATGTCTACAAATTTTTATTCTTAAAAATTCATGTTTTTTTTTTGGATAAAAATGTCATTTTTTATTCGATTGGACTGTTGCAATTCACAATATTTTATGATATTCATTAAGTATGAATAAGTGAACACATGAAATAAAATATATATTTTTTGGGGAATAAAATCATGAAGTAATGTATCTATTATTATCATAATACATCAATACATGATGTAATTTTATAAATTGCATAATATATTTGTTTGTATCATGACAGCTGTTTTAAATAGATCAAAGTATATATGCAGATTAATTTCAACATATTTTTATAAAAAGTATTATTTTATATGAAAATGATATTGCTAATTTTAAATTTTTTTCCTACAAAAATGTGATTCTATACATCACAACCCGTGAGCTTGATATATAAAATGATTTATGCATCATTTTATTTTTTTAACTTTTCATGAAAAAATTAAAAATATATATATTATATGAAAGAACTTGTAACAAATAATTAAAAGATACGCTGAATAAAATTGGGAATTTAAATAAAAACATAAGATCAAAACGAGTTTTAAACGACTTAAAATTTGCAGTATTTTAATTTATAAAGTGTTGAAAAAATGTGATTCTATTAAGTATGAACTTTTTGTAAGAAATCAAAATTTAAGAAAAAAGACTAAATAATTGAAATTATATATAATTTATTTTCAATAAAATTTAATTATAGTTTAAAAAATCATAAATAAAATTTGATATTGACAGCAACAATAAAAATCAATGAGTTTACAAACCGAATTTGTTATAAAATTTTTATTGATGCTATTTAAATAAATAAATATATATATATATATACTAAAGAATTTTTATAGCATATTTATTCAAATTTAGTTGCAACAAAATACAAAAAACTGTAGAAACAAGCAGAAGTTGAGAGCTTGAATGAACTGATAAGTATCAATTATAAAAAAATTTCAATTTTTATAATTGACTAAAATTCTTGATGAAGTGCAACATTTATTAATAAAATAAGCAACAATATTTCACATGTTTGACTTTTGATGAATATATTGCTTGTAAATAAGCTACAATCATATAGTTACTATAACCACACATATCGATATAAAGTTGATCTATTGAAACATTTGCAGTTTCATGATAAAAAATTGCTATAAAAAGTAATTGGTATTTTTCAAACATTCTTTACTTTTGATCTTTAAAAAAATGTGAGTTTTTAATATAAAAAAAAAATAAAATCAATATGTATTTTTATTTCTTTTTCATATTATTGAGTTGATTGAAATTTTTCATATTTTCATATTTCTTTTTCATATTCATATCATTCAAAAAAATTTCAAAATAAAATTTTGCTATAATTGACAATACATTTATTCACATATATGATTATAATCAACAAAATATTTACACATTTTTCAATAAGAAAAATACAATCTAAATTTTAAAATAGTGATGAAATTTTATTTTTTTTTATTTTTATTGATATTGTTCAGTGTGCATTCTATTTCTATTCAATGATATTCATTCACAGTCATATATTATAGATTGAGTTAGATAAAATGAAACATATATTTGTAAACATTGCTTTCGATAATAAATTTGAATCAAGCTGGTTATGTTTTATCTCTAATGTTAATTATAATCATATATATATATATATATATATCTTAAGCATTGTGATAACATAAAATCATATTTCTATTCTAAGATGAAAATATCATGTTAAAACATCAAATTTCTGGATATTTTATTAATTTATTTATATAATATTCTATTAAATATTCAATCATAATCCATTACATTTACAATTCTCACCAAAAGTTAAATATACAAAGAACAAACATTAATTTTTATTCATGAATATTTTGATTTACATTTCAGAGCGTATAAATGTAGTAAATGATATTCAACAATTTTTACACAGATTTTGAGAATGTTAACAACAATTATAAGCATAAATATGAAAAAATTTATACAAAATTCTATTTATATGACCTTTTGATCTTTATCATGTCATCAAAACTCAATTTGAGGAATATAGATACAAAAAGTGTTGATTCAATTCATCCAAGTTGAACTTTTATTTATTTGAATTTTATTAAACTATTAAAATTAGTCATTAATATCATATAAATTGAATATTCAAAATTCAAAAAACTATAGTTGCTATCAAGCGATTTGATGATTGATTGATATTTCTCAATTTTCTAATTTTTTTTTTTGCTAAAATTAGTTAAATCAAATATATAATAAATGTAATAAATTTTTTTATCAAAATATTACTAATTTCCGTTATGTTTTTGAAAAAATATGAAATTTATGTTATTATATCCAACCTAAAATTGCTTTGTATTTGTCCAATCATAATTCATAGATGGTTGAAAAATTTTTTTA